ATTGCATCTGCAGTCAACACAGGAACATCGTTGATAATCACTTATAGGATATCTTGGAAGCTAAACAAGGATTACATCTGTTTTTTCCATCGAATCCAATTTTTTCCATCAAGCATTGGAAGAGAATTCATAATGCCCTTTTCACCAGCCATCTTCATAGTGGTTGATTCACATGCCTTGGAAACACGATCTATATTGTGAAGTTCTTGAAAATATGATCAATAATAATAAGGAAATAAGGATTATATTATTCACTTTAATTGTACAAATGATGATACAAACTATGCTATTTACATACAACCCTAATTGAGCTTGGGCTTACCAACTTGGATTATATTTGATATTATATCTAATATCTCAACATATCTAACTTGGATTATATTTGATATATATCTAATATCTCAACATATCCAACTTGGATTATATTTGATATTATATCTAATATCTCAACACTATGTTGTTTCTGAGAAATTTTTCCATGTCCTTGCATGGAGGTTCTTCTGAGTGTTGTTGTGTGTGATGCTTGAGTGGTTAAAGGTTGCAGTTGTGAGCAGGGGACACAGTTTGTGAGGAGGTGTTCATGATTATGATAAACAAAGATGAGTGGGGCTTGGTTGAAAGAATTTGGGCATAGCTTCTATGGCTTATTTGTTAGTGAATTGTGAGAGTGTAGGAGGCTATCTATATATATATAGGTGAGTGGGGTGAAATATGTTGAGAGAAATGGAGGGAATTCTTAGGGGGGGGGGATGAAGGGGAATTGAGAGAAAAAGAGAGGATATGTGTGGTCATGAGGGAGTGATTTGGGACCTTTGATTGTTTTTGAATAAAAGGCTGAGATGATCTAAGTTTGTGTTAGTTTGTTGAGAAGTTTTGAATCTGAATTTGGAATTTTAGAAGAGAAACGAGTGACTTGTTGAATCCTTATGTATATGTATTGTGTATGTGTGTATTACTGTACATTGTTGTGTATGTAACTCAACTTTTGGTTTTTTACAGGTTGATGACGGTATGTCATGGAATGATACATGGGCCGAAAAATGTGACTCGTGGAAGGGTGAAATTGGAAACGTGCTGGAAAAACTCGTGATACAAGAAATATCTCTTTTTTCCTGTATTTACATACTTGTTGTACTTTCTAAATAAAAAACATATAGTGTTATTTTATTTTAAAAAAAGAAAAATTAATTCTACTGTACTTATCCTTATTATTTAATCAAAATAAAATTTACTTAACTAAATAATAATAACAACAATAGAAAATCTAAATGATGTAAAGACAAGAACAAAAATGACTATGTAGTTCAAATTTAAACAAGAAAAGTTAAATTGTTGACCTTGTAAAATATTTGAGACAATGCACACGAAGCAAAAATGCAATGGAGTGGCAGATGAAAAAGAAAACTTTTGACCAAATGAAATTGACATGATGTTAACTAAAATTGAATGAATGCACATATGTTCTGGTAAAATGACCTAAGAATAATGAAAATAAATACATGTGCTTGAAATCCAATTGAAATGCGACTGATGCATGGTCGTGGTTGATTAGAGGATCAAGTAATATGAACTAAAAACTCAGGAAAATTTGGGGTATGACACCAATATAGATAATAATGTAAGGTCATATGATTTTCGTGCACACATTTGATGGTAGTCGTAAAAAAAGCTACATATACATATGTGTTTCCTTGAAATATTTTTATGGTATTCAATGTCTAACATTTAATGTGGAAGATTAAGTTGCTATGATAGGTCTTTTTGAAATAAGTATATTAAGGTTTTTATGATTGAGGTTTAGATCATGGAAAAGAGTATGTATTTAAAGGCGTGTATCAAACAATTTCTAATATAGATATTTATTAAAATAAAAAACATTTTGGTGCATAGAGCCAGACATATACATCAAAATGTGTCGTGTGAAATTTGTTAAGTGATTGTGGGAAATTATTTCATTTGCATCGATATGCGTATAAATTTAATTGCTTGACCTCATAGATGAATGTTTGAATACATTTTTTGAATTCACACCGGCAAATACAAATGATGATATTTTTTATCATCCATTATCACATTCATCTTTTCATTAACAAAACTTAACAAATAATACGGTAGTTGGTATATATCAATCTTAGAATACACAATGTTTGTCATTTATTGGCAAATAATGATTCAACATTTATAATAATGCATCAACACAGACTTATACACGTAAAAAATTCTCCATAATAAATTTGAATAAGATCTAGAGGACACTAATAAAAGATACATAAATCAAATAACTTTTTGAGTAAGATAAAATCTTTAATATGACGACTAATGGGTGCTCCGATCTTGATCACATTTCCTTCATTGAGTTGCCACGCATTGAATGAGACATTATTAAATTAAAAAACTACCAATGTAGGTTATAATGTGAGGTCATATGATTTTCGTGCACACATTTAATGCTAGTCATAAAAAAAGCTATGTGTATGTATGTGCTTCCTTGAAATATTTTATGGCATTCAATGTGATAGATCTAATTGTTATGATAGGTATTTTTGAAATAAGTATATTAAGGTTTTCGTGATTGAGGTTTAGATAATGGAAAATAGCATGTATTTAAAGGTGAGTATTCAAATGATTTCCAATATAGATATTTGTTAAAAGCAAAAGTATTTTGGTGCATAGAGCCAACATAGATAGCAAAACATATCGTGCAGATTTCATTAAGTGATTGTGGGAAATTGTTTCATTCACATCAATACGCGTACTCCCTTTAGTCTCAAATATAAGAAACTTTACAAAAAAGCTAACCCTCTAAGAAAAATATCTAAATGCATTTAAGTCTTACACTCTTTCTAATTTTACCCCTACTTTTTATCTTAGAAATCGTGAAAAACATATAAATGTGAAAAAGTAGGGTTATATTTGGAATAATGACTTTGAATGTAATAATTATATGTGACTTTTGTTTATATTTAAGACCATAGAAATATTTTTTTGTTACTTATATTCGAGACTGGATGGAGTATAAATTTAATTACTTGACCTCATAGATGAATGTTTGAATAATTTTTTTGAATTTGCACCACCAAATACAAATGATGCTATTTTTTATCATTGATTGTCACCTTAATCTTTTCACTAACAAAATTTAATAGATAATGCGCTAGTTGGTATATAACAATCTTAGAATACACAATGCTTGTATTTGATTGGTAAATAATGATTCAAAACTTATAATAATGCATCAACAAATACCTTCTTCGTTAAGCACGAGGTATAAATACCTTCTCCAAGGGTTTTTTAGATACACAATCTCTAATATCTATTTTCACTATGATTATCTTGAACCCATATTGACTTGTGCGTTGGAGTACTAATCATGTAGACACTTCATAGGTCTACCATACATGAGATTAAAGACATTAGTTCAAGATTAACACCTCCGATTTTAGAAGCATCACGATCACAACCTTAGGATCAAGACACTCCTCCCGTGAATCGTGTAGGAAGCTTCGCTCCGTAAGTTCCACAACTCTCTATATATAGTTCCACCACTGAATAGTGACGATGAATCCCTTCTTGACGAATCTCTTTTTATTGAATAAGGAAGTGAGGGGTATACCTACAAACACTTCAACAATCAAGTTAACATATACTCTGAATGCGAGGTTTAAGGTTTAGAATTATATGCATCTGGTTCTAACCCATTAGTTAGGTTGTTAGTAGTAACATATGACTCAAATGCTTAAGAATATTGCTTAATGGCACTTATCTCAAAGGATAGTTATCAGGGGATCTCATAGGTCTTGTCATCTAATGATCTTCCTATTCTTTATCAGCTCCAAGCAAGGGTACTTGTAGGGTTTAACCATTTACTAATTCAGGAACACTAAAACATTTTAAAGTGATTCCCTTATACACTAAAGGATCTTATAAATTTCATTATCTAATGTTCCTTGTGTGTTATTCAACCCTGATCAGACGCACTGCTATGTCCATTTTTTGAATCTCTTTGACTTTTAAGACTAATTGATCCATTATCAAGTGCAACATTACTTTTAATGATCAGGCTTGTTTTCTTCCTTTTGTGTTATGTAATAATTTATTTTTTATATTATTTTAAAAAAAAAATCACTGTTTTAAAATAAACAACCCATGATAAGTGAATGAATATACTTAGAGTCAATACCTCAATTTTATATTAGTTATGCACAAAAAACCTAATATTACTTATTACTTTTATAAATATATCACTTCCTTTCGAGTGTGACAAAGAGTTATGTCCACTCTCTTTAAACATATGATATTTCTTCCGTATAATTATTTTTTCTATATAAAATAATGTAACACTTCCTTTTAAATCATATAATTGTTGATCATTTAAATCACACAACCATAATATATACGTGTACTGAATTAATTTCATAATTTTATATAAATAGTTTACAATAATTTCAATGACTTTTAGAACTACTTTTATAAATAGAATATTTTCTTAAGTGTAAATGTATTTTTTTAATGAAAAATATATTATTTTCCTTTTAAATCACATAAAAGAGTTGATATGTGGGTGTATTCAAAATAAAACCACAATAACTTAACATTACTTTTACAAATAATAATTTGAGTGTGAAAACATTTGGTTATCCTTATCCTTATTAAAAATAAATGAAGTAGCATAATAGAAGACTTACGTGCAAGAATTAAAAAAAAAACATGTGTAAAATTAAAATAAAAAAATTCATTTATAAAAAAACCAAAAAAAAACCCTCAAAACGGCCTATTAAAATGAGAAAAATATTTTGATACAATTTCATAAATGAAAAAATTATACCTTTATTATAGTTTTATCGAAAAAAGAATAAATCACACGTAAGTAAAGAAATGCAATTAAGTTTTTTTCATAAAATTTAATATTGAGTCTTCAATCTGTCCGAATATTATAATCGCTGGTTTCTCTAACAGCGTGTCGTTTTCCGTTCCCGCCCACTTCCATTTCTCTCTCCACCATGGGAAACTCCTCCAAGGACAATTCCGCCGTCAACTCCGGCGACGCTTCTCCCGCCGACGCTCCTCCCTCCGATTCAAGCACATACTCCGAGGGCGAGAAAGTCCTTGCTTATCATGGTCCCCGCATCTACGAAGCAAAGGTACTTCTCATTTTTCCCCTTTCTAATCATTTTTTTCTCTCCAATTATCATTTTCAATACTTTCTCCTCTCAATTTTTCTCTCATTGTTTATACTTGTTTCGAATTCACCAATTCCGTGTTTGCAAAGAAATTGAACTTCTGCACTCACTAACTGTCAGTAACCGTTCCGCAATTTGCTTTTTCTGGATTAGGGATTCGGTTCAGTGTTTTTGAGTATGCATTTGTGTTTATTTCTTAAAATTTGTTGAAATTGTTAATTCTACTTACTTTGACTGAAATTGTTAAAATTTGTTGAAATTATTACAATTTTTTTTCTGATGTGTGATTGATTGAATGCTTGATCATAGGATTGTATATACACTAGAGAAGGGTGAATCATAGTAATATGTTGAATTGAGTGTTTTTATGGTTATTTTGATTAAGTTCTTATTCTATGTATGTAAACCTAATGCACATGAGAGAGAAAGTGTATATCTTGTTCTTACATTGTGATTATGTAAGTTATTGTATGATTTATTTATCAGGTGCAAAAGGCGGAGATCAGAAAGAATGAATGGAGATACTTTGTTCACTACCTTGTAAGTTAAATTATGATATTTCCTTCTCCATAGATCTTGCTTTATGTACTTAAGTTATTGTTCGGTTTCGGTTTGGAACATTTGAATCCAGTTTTTGCCTTCAAACTCAATTTGAAATGGAAGTTAGGGGAGGATTGTTTTTGCAAGCCTAGAGCCTGTTTACTTTTTTTCCTGTTTTCATTTTCACTTTCAACTGCTAAACTTAACAACATATTTTCCTTACTATCTTCATTTACAATTTTTGAGAACAGATCTAGAATTTTAAAAATATTTGAAAATGCCAAAACATTGTTTTCATTATTTTTGAAAATGCCTTCCCAGTCTGCGTTCTACTTTCTCTCTATCACAAATATTCACTACATGAGTCTCGCATCTCCTTGTTGGCAATCTTAAATGAATGTAAAATTTAGAAAATCAGAACTGAAAATGTTTTCAGAGAGTAAACGGGATTGCAGAATGATGTTTTTTTCAAACTTAAGAATGTAAACTTTAATTAGATATAAAGTCATTTTTACCGTTACCTCTAATTTAACTTTTTAAACTAATATTTATCTTGCCAGATTTGACAAAGTGATTCACTTGATAAGTTAATCTGAAACTCTAAGTGATCACGGGATATAGTATTGATTATGGGTTGCTTTACGCTTTTGTTTTGCAGGGCTGGAATAAAAAGTGAGTTTCTTGTCATTTCCATTAGTTTATTTCATCAAGTAATAAAGGTACACGTGACCAGTCTTAATGATCATGCTCCAAACTTTTAGTTTACAGTTTTCTGAAAATACTTTAGTCGTTCTTGTGCATGCGGCTCAAAATTGGTGTAACCATTACCATAAAGTAAGCAGCAGTTAATACTTGACAAATTTCCAAAGTCAAATTCTAATGTTAAATGTCAATGGAAGTGGTATGCAAGGTTCTTATTGGAACTTGTTTGACAATTTGTTTAAGTGGCTTTTGTAATACTGATCTATAACTTTCTAGAGAGAATTGCCTTTATTGTGACTTATGTTGCCATAAATGTTTTGCATCAACTGCATGTAAAAGGTTAAACTGTATATCTTCCCGTTTTTATTAATGAATTCATGTTCCTTATCTCTAATTCAATGACCAATTAAATGTTTGCATGATCTTTTGATATTATCATTGGTTTGATATATTTCCAACAGTTGGGACGAATGGGTAGGTGAGAGCCGTTTAATGAAACATACCGAAGCAAATGTTGTGAAACAACATGCCTTAGATAAAAAGCAAGGTGTAGACAAGAATGTTAGGTCTGGGCGTTCAACTCAAGGAAAGGCCAAAAGTTCTACAGGTGAGAAATGGTCTCTTTCGAATGGAGATATTGTATCGTTACACAGTTTATTGTAGCTTTTGAATAACAAACGTCTATTCTGTAAAGGGGGTTCCAAAGACTCCTTGTATGTGTTTGTAAATGTAAAAAGATTCTCTGTTAGTTCCTCTCTCCAGAATATTTGGGCCGTGCATTCAATTATCAAACCTCTTTTTACTAAGTGTCTTTCTTATCTCTGATTTGTATATTAGTCACAGATGTGGACACTTTAAGGCATTTATTTTCCGTTTTAATTTTTATTGGGGAGTTTGGATTGACTGAGAGCTAAAAAATCGCCTTATACTTTTTTTGATAAGTGGGACCATTGCCATTAGTATCCAACATTTTTTTTCTTCTTTAAGTCACGAGAACGGGGCTTTCATCTCAACTCAAAAGGACCTTTGTCAACTGTCCTTTGAAAAGTTTGAACAATGTCTTTTTGAACAAGGTTGGTTTTTATCAGGGAAAAGGGTACCTTACTGTTCAAACGAAGAAGTACGAGATAACCAGATCTTATCAGGAGGGGCTTGGGTGCGAAGTTCTGTTATATAAGTAGAAACAATGTAGCATGTTTTGATAATATTCTAATATATGTTAGTTTCAAATTTAGCTACTTCTGGGAAAAATTATGCAGTAACTACTTTTGAAATTGTTTTAAAATATGCAGCAACCTTCTACAATATATTAGTATGCTTAAATTAGTTTTTCATTCTTATAAACACTTAACAATGTGTAGGTGGGCTATTGCACTCGCACACAATCCTTATTTTGATACGTTTCCTTATTCTGCTTTGCTAGCTTCATAATTTAACATTTTCTTTTGATACTGTAGATGCCAAAGTGGATAAAGAAGACATCAGGAATAATGGTATTTACTAAATTTCATCTTTTCAATTTCCTTTTAATTTTATTAAATTATTATATTTTTATATTTAGTTTGGCTATTTTCTTCATGCTTATTAGGACCAAATATCTATCGCAAAATTCAGAACCATTTGATTAAAAGAGGCTTGATTTCTTGAATATAATTATATTAATTTTCTTCAATTTTCACTAAAATAAATTTAATTCATCTTGCTTCAAAATTGTATCAAATTTTCTTTCAGTTTTTGAAACTTGTGTTTAAGCTGTGGGCCATTTCATCGATACTTATGTGCTTTTGGGTAATAGAGCGCAACATAATAAGCAACATCTGTTAATCATTTTTCATAATCCCTCCATTTAAACACACTAATTATTATTAATAAGTTGGACCTCAAATTCTCCTGTTTGAATGCAATGTCTTCATTGATTTGTTGATGTGAAAACAAATGTGTTAATATCGGCTTGGCTTCACTAATAAATTTAACATGTCAAACTGTGCAGTGTCAAAAGGAAAAAAACGAAAGAATGATTCAGGAATTGAGGTTTGGTTTATACCGTGTTTTAATTGTATTGTCTGCATGTTCCTCATTTTAAACTTCAGAAGGTTTACAATTTTCATTGCATTTCTCTTCATATCATTGTTACCTAATTGTTACCTATTTTCATTTCACATTTTCTTTAAAATGCAAATACCTTCATTTTTGCCACAATCCTTTTAACTGCAAACATTCTACTAAGTGTGGTTTTCTAATTATTAGAAGGGCAGCGGGAATGTTGAAAAGCTTTTTAAAATTCAAATCCCTGCATCATTAAAGAAACAACTTGTTGATGACTGGGACTTTGTTAATCAGCAAGATAAGGTAAATGGAGACAACTAAGTTACTCTATCCAGTTATTATTTTCTTGCATATGTTTAGAACACACCTTTTAGGGTAAGATTTTGATCTATGTTTCATGTATAAAGGACTGTACCTGATAGAGATGACTGTGAGTTAAGTTGTTTCTTTTCTACTTGAAATTAAAGGATACATTTACAATTTTACACGGATGCCAAGCAATTTGAAATCATCTAACTGAATTATATTATATTAAGCCACCTGGTAACTTATCGATAATGTTATATCATAATTTTATAATAGCTGAATTATTTGACAATGGTCTTATAGACACCAGCGGCGCTGATTCTTCTCTTTTGGATATCTCGCGAATGTTTTCTCAAATTTCTTTTATCTCTTTAGTTTTCCTGGATCAAAATGCACAAATGCTATGTTCTTGGGCTGTCATTTATATTTAAATGAAAATGCATGCTTTATTAGTTTTCTGTACAACAAAACTACAAATTGAAGAGAATTATTGATAACATTTTTCCTATTTTTTCTTTAACAATGTGTCATTGCTGCCTCTAAAATATCTGACTATTTGAGCCTATCCTTTTAGCTTACAAATATTTTTGCGATGGCATTATTTTGGTTCTGATGCAATGCATGATTGTTTAACATTTTATCTCAAATATCTGACTATTTGAGCCTATCCTTTTAGCTTACAAATATTTTTGCGATGGCATTATTTTGGTTCTGGTGCAATGGATGATTGTTTAACATTTTATTATTTGAGTACCACTATAAAAAGTGATAACCTATTTTAGAGAGTTAATAATCTCATCACATGTATTTTTTTAATTTTTATTTTACATTTCTCCCTGCAGCTTGTGAAACTTCCTCGTTCGCCCACTGTTGATGAAATTCTGACAAAGTATCTTGAATACAAGTCAAAGAAAGACAGCATGTAAGAAATTATTTCTAAATAAAAATTCATATGCTTCCTCCTTTTCTACCATGGCTATCTATTTTGTTATTTGTCATACATCTAGTTGTGACTAATGATGAAGGCATCTGTAATGTGTTTCTATAATACAGGGCGGCTGATTCAACAGGGGAAGTTTTGAAAGGTATAAGGTGTTATTTTGATAAAGCATTGCCTATGATGCTCTTATATAAAAAAGAACGCAAGCAATGTAATGAAGCAGTTGTGGACAGTGTGTCTCCATCAACCATATATGGGGCTGAACATTTATTACGCCTCTTTGGTATGTTCCTTACTTTTTTCTGCTTTTAAGCGTGTGCTCGGAAGGAGGACACCCTCTAGGCACATGTACTTTCATTTTGTCTTGGGAAATACTTTTGTGATCCTTGTTTCTTCTGTAATTTTTTTGATTTAATATTAAAAGAATGTGTTATTAACAGTCAAATTTTTTCTTGTGCTTGCAGTTAAGCTGCCTGAGCTTTTGGCATATGTGAACATTGAAGAGGAAACGTTAAACCGCTTGCAGCTGAAACTACTTGACTTTCTCAAGTAAACGTTTATACTCATCTCATTATATTTGATATCAGATTCTATTGTGCTGAATCCTTATTGATAACTTTTTTAAGTGTCCTGATAAGTACTGCACAATGTCATAAGCTGTCAAATAAATATCATGTACTTGCTTTAATAGCCAATAAATTTAGGCTTCATAAGCTTGTGTACAAATTGATGATTGTATTGAATTCCAAGGATTTGGACTATTATGACAGATATTTTTTTTTTATCCGTTGACGAAGTGGTAATAACTACTATAAACTCACACAACCGTGAGATCTAAGGTTCGAACCCTAGTGTTGGCGTCCAACCTAGTAATATCGATTTTTGTCCATTGAGTTAGGATTTGCGGACTATTATGGCATCGGTAGATGAAGTGGTAATAACCACTATAAATTCACGCACACAACTGTGAGAGCCAGGGTTCGAATCCTAGTGTTGGCGTCCAACCTAGTAATATCGGCTTTTGCCAGTTGAGTAGGATTTGCGGACTATGCATGTTACCCTGTGTAATTCTTGTTTATATTTCTACCCATTATGGTTGAGACACATTGTTGTGTTCAGCTCAATAGTATAAAGTTGATTTTAACTGTTTTCTTTCTCTAGAATTTTGTTGCTATTGATTTGATAAAAAAAAACTCATTGCAGGTTCTTGCAGAAAAATCAAAGCACTTATTTTCTCTCAGCATATGATGGGACAAAAGGAAAAGGAAAGGGAAGGGATGAATGAGAGATTCCTAGTCTTCCTCATCTATTGTATTCTTAATGATTGCCATATATCTCTCTCCCTCACCGCAGGAAATCTGTTGTTGTAATAATAATATTGACTAATTCATTCTTTAATTTTTAAAGTTTACACAATACTTGCAAACAAAATATTTGATGGCTCCAGATAGATACTTTCCCACCCCTACATTTTCAGAATAACTACAGCATATAATAGCTAGAAAGTGTTCTTTTGGACTATAACACGACATGAAGTGTACATTTGAACAGTGCAAATATTGTGTTTATTTTAAATGTGTACTACACATCCTAAGTTAATATAGGAAATGTGAAAAGTTTCTTCCACTGGTGAAATATAGTTAGGCTGGACCCTTATGATTGGGGTCTCTAAAACACTATATTTGGAGCACTAATTTCCACTCTGCCCCCTCTGGAAAGACTTCATCTTTATAGTGTATACACTCAGACTGCACAAATCACCTGAAGCTTTGCATCTCTGTATGCAAAATTTGATGACTTATTTGGGTGCATACTTCCTAACTGGTGTTGGAAGGTGGATAAAAGTAGCCTTTTTATTTTTCACTAGGTTGCACACAAACTAAGTGTCCCTGAGTAAAGCACATAGTAAAGAAACTTGGCCTTTTGGCTGTGTAACCAGCTCTATTCTGGAAGCTTTAAGAAATGAAATATTTTTTGAAGGAAAACCTGTTTTGCACTTCTTAAATTCTAGTAAACATAAACTGGCTTGCACTTAGTGTATTTTGTACGTGGTGGTACTTTTGTGATTTGGAAAATCTCAATTAGATTTAGTGTACCTGTGTTGAGATCTGAACGTTTTTTTTTTTCTTTTCGGAAACAACATATTTTGACATTAACACGTATCGGGGCTTCTATCTATGTTTGGATTAATGGAGTCAACGGAGCAGAATAGAACAAATATTTCATTTTATTGTTTGTATATTTTTTTTTTTAAAATTGAATATAATAAATTAGTTTACTCTATTACATATATTTTATAAGTTAGATGAAATGAAAATTAAATAATTTGATGGAATAGTACGAAATGAATTCATGTTCTGTTCTCTTTCATTTATTATATGAATTTAATTGAAATATATTAATATTGTAAAACAGTTTTATACTATCAGTAAATCAATATTTTATATTGATAATGTATAACAATTATTCTCTTATTATCTACAAATCTAAATAATGAAAATTTGTTATTTACCATTCTTCAATCACATACCACCAATAATATTTAGGAGAAAACTTAGATACAAATATTTAGATGTGTTTTTTATTATTTTTCAATAAAAATATATCAAATATATAATTTTTTCTTAAATATATATAATTTTCTTCTATTTTCACTTTTTAAACGATATTTTAGTACATTTGTCATATTTTCATTGACAAATCGTAAGAATCACACCTAAAAAATTATATCTAAGTTTTTTTACTAATATGTTCTCTTCGTGGAGAATCTGAATATTAAGTTTCAGACTAATTCTCGGGGCGATAAATTTCTCCTTGAGCATTAAATTTGTTATAAATTTAACATATTTTAATAAATTTTATAATTTAATCTCTTTATACAAAGTATACATAATTATTAAAGTAGTGAAGTGTTTAAGAGATGTCTTGGAAAAACATCTGGAATGATAATAATAGATTCAACAAATTGGATTTTTGGGATAGCAGCAGGAGACACATGTCTTCGAAAAAACGATGCCAAGGATACGTGAACTCGGGATGGCAATGTTTTTGCATCAAATGAAGTGACACCATGTGAGGATTTAGCCTTTTTCATCAAAAGGAAGTGTTGAATTACTCTACCATATTTCAATCTTTATTGATTGTCAGATATTTTCCCTTTGATTAAAGCATAAAAATCATATTATAATCAAAAAGTCAAACTCAAGAGACATAATAGACAAAATCAAATAAATTATATATTATAAAATTCAAAAATTAAATTATGTACTGGACGACACTAGAAAAAACAGAACTTGTTTTGACCTGAGTTGCATTTTGGATGAATCCGAATATTAAATTTCAAATTTTAAAAAATTATTGATCTTTCGTCGTGGTGGGTGAAAACTACTGAGATGCGATGAACAATGATTATTATTCGTACTTACTAATCTGGACCGGGCCTGTACTTGTCCCCTGGTTGGGACGCCCAATCCAACACTCTTGTATGAGGCTCAAAAGCAAGCAGACCAATCTAGGGACTGTTGAGCAACTCCCAACACATTCATTGGGGAATGTGGCCCACGCACCCACATCACCGTCATCTTAACTGCCCTTCGAAAATCACGGGTCCAATCCCTATTCTCACGGAGCAGTTGACCAGGAGGGAGTCCACTTGCTGGACTCCATACACACGTAAGCCTTGACAATCTTTATTATTGGGCCTCAACGTGGCCCAACAATGGGACCTTGGCCCAGCGCTGAGGGCTATAAATACCATCTCTTTCGAGAGGGTCAGGTATTGAACATTTTCTCACTCTCTTACTTGCTTGCTCATTCTGAATCTCACTTTGGTATCAAAGTGTCTTACAGGTACCCCCACCTTACTCTCAAGTTCTGCTCGACGTAAGCTGTGACCGTCCATTCTGGTCAGGTACGATCAGTGGCGCTGTTTGTGGGAAACAAAGCTTCCCCGTCTTTCATTCATCCAAGACAAAATCTAATCCAACTCCTTTTTGACCGTCAAGGCTGATCTCACGGCAGAAAACAACTTGAATGTCCATCTCATCGACGTCAACAACGTCGCCGACCATAACACCGACACCAATAACGCTGGTCCCGCTGGCCTCAACACCGGTAACAATAACAACACCGACAACAACAATAACGGCCACGCTGTTGACATGCCTGACCCCTTAGAATATAGAGACAGACAGACTGCCTCATCGTCATCACTGTCTAGACGACTCGAGGACGATCATCGTCCTCCTCAGAACTACCAACCGAACTAGTTCTAGGAGGTCCCAGTTCCTGCGGGCGCTGATGCCACGATCAGGGCATTGTTCACGGTTATAAATCAAACAAACTACTTGATCTTCTAACAAGGTGAGAGATTAAGGGTGCTCGCAGATTCTCGAAGAGCCCCTAGAAGACACATGAGGCCCGATTCTCCTCCTTCCTGTCAGATAGAGGACTGTCCCCAATCTCCTCCGCAGAGATGCAGACGGGATGCCTCTTGAAGCCCCTCTCCCCGAAGAACCGAGAGACGCCTCACGTTGGAGAGGGATTATCCTGTTGATACGGGGAGACGTGATCGCATTCCCCCGCGCCAAGAGAGAAGACCCCCTAGAAACAGAAATAGCGGAAATGACAAACAACGACACCGGCCAAGAGATCCTCCCCACGACCAGGGCCGCCATCACGACCGTCATTATAACAGATCGCCTTCTCGATCTCCAGACATAAGCAACGAAGATGACCCCCGCGGTCCTCTATCCCAGGCTATTATGGAGGAACCCATTCCCCCGGGTATGGAGAAACCTCCCCATCTGAAGGAGTACGACGACATTGCCGATCCAGTCTACCACATCGATAGGTTCGAGGCAATGCTGCACTATCATAACATCGGGGGACCGATTATATGCCGGTTTTTCCCCACGACTCTAAGGAAAACTACGATGGACTGATATAAGAACGTCGCCCCGGGGTCAATTACCTCCTGGAAAAACTTGAAAAACCAGTTCATCAGATCATTCACTACCTCACATCGACACCCAAAGACTGAGGCAGCCCTCGAGGCCATTATCTAGATAAGCGACGAGACCCTCAGGGAGTTTATTGATCGGTTCAACCGCGAGGCCATTCAGGTCCCTTGCACTGATCATATGAAGAGATACTTGCTCGAGAGGGGAATACTCCTGGGCACGGAGTTCAGAAAAGTCATTGGCATCGTACCACTACAGACATTCGATGCTCTCCTCGAAAAGGCTATGGCCTATATGGACTATGAGGAGAGGGAAACGGACAATAGAGCCAGGGACCCAAGGAATCATGGATCAACCAGCACTCCGCAACAACAAGATTCGGGGCCTCCTCGACCAATGGGCGAGAAGAGGAGGGATGACAAACCACGAGATCCTCGCGAGCAAAGAGGGCCCGTAGGGCGATTTACTGAGTACGCTCCGCTGACAGTTTCCCGCGAGTGCATCTTGGCGGAGTGTGCTAGTATTAATTTCAAGGACGGTGGCGTCAGGCGTCCTCGTCTTGCTCCTGCTAAGCACGTGGCTGACCGGAGCAAATACTTCCAGTATCACCGAAGCCATGGACATCTGATTGAAGACTGTGTCCATCTCAAAGACGCTATTGAAACCCTCATTAAAGGGGGAAGACTCGGGAAATATCGACGCGGTAGCACCCCTCAGTGAGATGCCCGCGATACAAAGGAGGCTGGGGAGGATGCCCGACCATCAGACGAGACGGTTCCCATCCAGACAACATTCTCTGTTACAAGACAGATGGACTTCTACGTCCCCGATGACATCGAAGAGCCTCTGTCCATGCACAGTAGGTGGGAAAGATTCCCCTCTACCATGGTTATAAATGGCGGGGGGGGGGGGGGGGGGGGGTTCAAGACATATCTATAAACTCCGCAAAAAGGAAGCTGGACGAGCTGGTCAACACGGCCCCCTCGCAAGCGGTGACATTCAAGAGGGTCAAGGGCAGATCGGAGCCGATCATATTCTACCTTGAAGAATTGCCCGAAGGGGCCCCTAATTCAAGCATCCCTCTTCTGGTTAGGGAAAGGATGGAAAATTTTGACGTTCATTACGCCTTGGTCGATGAAGGGAGTTCCGTCGACGTAATGTATAGCCAACTCTTTCGAACCCTACAACTCGACGACACCTACCTTTCACCATATGTAGGGTCCGACCTGCAGGGCTTCAACGGCTCGACCTCTAAACCGTGGGGGTACGTGGAGCTCTTAGTCACATTCGGCGAGGAAACCTCCACCAGGCATGTCACAGTGTG